CACCTGGTCAGTACCCTAACTACGGTCAGTTTCCCCACCTGGCCAGTGCCCTGACTCTGCTCAATGTCCCCACCTGGCATATGGATTACATGGGAAATACAGAAGTAAAAGATCATTTTTAATCTTTGCCTTTTTTAAATTAAGAAAATAATATCCATATGATAATTGTGGAATATAAAAATGTAAAAGGAGAGATAAAGGAAAACTTTTAGATGTTATTTGTGGAGCAGATGATATTTAACTGTTAATCCCATGGTTATTACTGTTGTGTTTTTGGCTACCTCAGGGTTTTTATACTTGAGAATTTCACAGTGAAGTATTAAAGGAGTAGTGTGGGTTTGCTGTTATGCTGAACCTTGTGCCACTGGGGTATCAAATACCATAATGGTTTCCCATTATGGACAGTGTTTGTCATTATTAGAGTAGAATTTTTAAAGAAAGGTAAATTTCATGTGTATTTTTTTCATATATATTTCTAACAGATCAGCACTTTTTAAAAAAGTAATAAGATTATCAAACATCTTAATAGTAACAGCAATTCTTTTGTTTAACAAAATGTTCATTCCCCCCATTCTCCTGATTATCTTATATTTGGTTCATTCATTGTAATTGATTGATATGTCTTAAATCTCTTTTAATCTATAAGGCTCTCTTTTTTTTTGGTCCCATGAAATGTGACAGCACCTTGGTTGGAGACCTACCCTCAATGTGTCTCACCCACAGTCAGGGTTGTTGAACTTATCCTAAGGCCTTGCACACTCACTGGTTCAAGAATATTGGTTTTGTTTCCACAGGGCAGGCCAAATCCTCAAAGAAATTTGAAGACTTGATGGAAATGGTGAAAAAGCTGCAAAAAGGTCATGTGTCTCCCCTGTATCTGAAGTTTAGATAGAGGTTGAGCGTTAGAGAGGTGTAGGTTCAATTCTCATCCCTAGAGTTCACAACCTGGGGAATTAACCCATTCACATTTTTAAAAATTTTACTACTTTGAACTAACACTATTACATCATGTTTCAAAATGATAAAGAAAAAAAGTAAAAAAGATTTACCAGAACTCTGTCTAACTTCACCTCCTGGCTGGCCACCCTTTTGGCAAGCTCTAGAGACCTAGTATATAAGGAGTTTTGCTGCCAGCCAAAGGCATGCAGTTTGTGCAGGAGTAAGATGAGCACTCTCCTCCTGTGAGGCTTACAGCTTCCAAAAACCCATAAGTTTCAATTATGAGTTAATTCTGACTCTGGCACATAACAGCAGCATGCTGTTTCTGCTGTTAGGTACTTTGGAGTTGACTCTGACTCATAGTGATCTAGTGAACCACAGATTGAAGCTGCTCTATCCTGTATCATCATCACAATTTATACCATGTTCAAGCCTATTATGTTGTTGTTTTTATTGTTGTTGGGTGGGTACCATTGAGGCGAGTAAAACTCAACAACCCTATGAACAACAGATCTGAACCCTGTTCTATCCCGTGCCATCCTCATCATCTCTGATATACTGAAGCCCATTGCTGCAGTTACTATGACAACTCATCTTTTTTGAAGATCCTCTTCTCATTCACTGTCCCTCCACCTTTTCAAGTCCGGTATCCCTTTCCAAGTAACATGTCCAAAGTATGAAAGCTTCACCATCACTGGCTCTAAGGAACACTCTAATTACACCTTAACAAGATATATCTGTTCTTTTGATAATCAATAGGATATTCAGTACTCTTTTTCTGATGACACAACTCATAGGCATCAATTCTTCTGTCATCATTATTCATTGCCCTGCTCTCAGATGCATAACAAGTGAAAAAAATATGGCCTGTATCGGACACAGCTTAGTCTTCAAATTGACAGCATTCTTCCTCAGTAATTTGGAGAGATCCTTCACAGCAGACTTGTTTAAAGTAGTATGTTATTGTTATTTGCCATCAAGTCAAAACCAACTTACCTGACCCTCCAACAGGTTTTCAGAGGCTATGTATCACACAGGAAATTTCCCCTCTCTAATTTATGGAGCAGCTGGTGGATTCAAATTGCCTGCCTTTGGGTTAGCAGTACAAGTCTTACCACTAAACCCAGTATACTAAAAATTAAATCCTACAGCTATCCCCTTCACAATCCATACTAAACTTTCTATTTCATCTACTATGTATTTCTCACTAGACTCCTTCCAGTCATATTTCCATTTACTTGGTCCTTGTACCACACAAAATCTTCCAGGGCCAACTCTCCTCCCTTGACTTGAGGTCCTCAGGAACCTTTCCCATAGGTGAAGAAACATTTCTCCTTCTTTCATACTTTAACCCTTGACCACTTTACTTCCCTGGATACAGTTACCACTATTTGGTTCACTGTCTCTATTTGTTTGTCTCATCTCCCTCTCCTGGAATGTAACATAGTACCTGCTAATAGTTACCAAAAATGCATTGCTGTTGATTCAGAATCCTATAGACTCATAGCTAACCTTCTTGGGGTTTTTGGAGGCTATGAATAGCAAAGAAAGAGATGATCTGTCATTCTCTCTTGAATTAAAATCATCTGAGAGGTGCTGCCTTTGGATTAGCAGGGCAACACCTGATAGATTACCCCACCAAAGCTCCCTGATAATAGTAAAGGTTCAGTAAATTTGTGTTGAATGAAAGCAGCAGAGACCTTGGGCTGGCACCCACTCCACCTCTGACTGTTCTACACAGCTAGTCATGTGTCATCACTAGCTAAATTACCTATTTTTCTGTATAGCTGGAAGCTTGGAACCTCGAGTTGAGGTCCTGATTAACCGGATTAATGAGGTTCAACAAGGTGAGTTCAAGGACCTCAACCTGAACTGCCAACCAATATCAATTACATGATTTTCAGGTCACAGTGAAAAATGAAAATGTTGGTACCTTGATAAAAAACTACTGAGAATTTCAGGACTGTCAGTAAAGCATTAAACCAAGCACCTTAGGGATTGCCCAGTCACATCCTTCTAGTGCCCAACCTGCCTGGACAGCCCCCTGAGAAGGCTCCCTCCTTTGTAAAAACTCAGCCCCTCTAGGTTTTTGAGGGTGAGCAAGGCTGGTAACTGTGCTTATGTAGTGTCTGTTGTTGTGTACCATTGAATTGGATCGACCCATTCTGACTGACCCCTCTGGCTGGTTTTCAGAGGCAGTTAATTGCACAGGAGATTGCCCATCCTTCTCCTGCAGAACAGCTGGTGGATTCTAACTGTGTGCCTTTGAGATTGCAGCACAGCTTCTGCCACTAGAGCTCCCTATACTGTCTGTACTCTTGTCTTTTTCTCAGCCAAAAAGAAAGCCAGTGAGGAGCTGGGAGAGGCTCGGATCCTTTGGGAGGCCCTGCAGAAGGAACTAGAGTCAAGTAAGTTTTCTGGGGGTCACCCGGAGTTCCCTACAGTGTCTGAAATGAACTTGATCTCTAGTTTTTCATATACACAAAGTCCTCACTATTGTCCATGAGACCCTAGCACTGACCTTTCTCCACTCTAGCACTGCCGGTAGAGGTCATCCAGAAATACCCTTCAAGTATCTCTGGTCTCAGGCCTTCTCTGGATTGTTTTTCCCATGTGTAATGTTTTTCCCCTAGTGATTCCAGGCAGCTCCCTGTTGCGTCACATTCCACATTCAGCTCTTAATATCCTTTTTGAGAAAGACTACCTGATCATCTTATCTAAAGATTTTACCCTTCTCCCATCTCGTCTTGGATCTTCACACTCCTGGAGGATTCTTTGATAGCCATTTCCCCCATCTTATGTGATGGCATATTTCTTTCCCTTCAACAGATCCCACATACAAACATCTGTAAATGCCAGGACCATTTGATGTGTATGGAGAAAAGGGCCACAGTGTGGAGGGAGCTTGCCTCCAGATGTCCACATTTTAGATAGTGGGCAGAGCTTTTATAAATCTTCTGTGCAACCTTATGAAAACCTCTTCCCTATTGTCTCGGTGTTTCATTGTTTTCCAGTAAATGGAGAGAAGGTACACCTGGAGGAGATCTTGAACAAAAAGCAAGGTATATTCAACTCTTGTCTTCACACATTTGTCTTTTACTTTGCTACAGAGAACCACTCATTCCACACCAGTGGGAACCTTCTGAACCTAGGGTTGGGTTATTTCCTTCTGTAGCCTCCACCAGACTTGTAATAAATAGTAATGTCCAGTATATTCCCCACAAAGCTGGATGAGGTCTGACCTGTGACCTCTCTGACCAAATCCAGTGGCATTTACAAACTTCATGGGGCCTTCCTTCTCCTGCAGAGACACTGAGGATCTTGCGTCTGCACTGCCAGGAGAAAGACAATGAGGCCCAGAGGTAAGAGGCTCTGCCTGAACTTTGCCCTACACTCATCCCCATTTCCCACTGTGAAAGATTTGAGCACACGAAAAGGACACATCAGACAAGCAGCTTCCCTGCTCAGTTGTTATGAAGCAGGACTGAATTGGGGATCTGGGGGGAAACTAGGAAAAGGGTAGATAGATAATGAATACTGCATTGGAAAAGAGGAAAAAAAGAACTGTTTAAAAGGAAAATATGATTAGTCATTATACATATGACAGCAGTCCAGAATAAGAAGTGCATTGCAAAGTGGACTGGAGAAAGAGGAAGGAAATTGTGCAACAATGATTTCTTTAAAAAATTGAAAGTGAAGTGGGGAAGCGGGAAAGGAGGAGGAGAGAGGAAAATGTGCAATAATGAGTGAATGAAAATCCAACTTTTCTGTAAAGTCTGGTTAAAATCACAATAAAAACAACAATGGAAAAAAGGGGCAGCTTTCTCACACATTAGTATAATTATTAATTTGCTAGATTGTCCATTAAAAACTCATTAATTTCCATGTTTTAGTTTGTCATCATTTAACTTCTCAACTGCCTATTCAGACATCTGTCCATTTAAACATCCCCCAATTCAGTAACCACCTATCCAAGCATCCATCTCTGTCCATTTATCCATTACCCTCCCATCTGTCCAACTGATTAGCACCTTTCTATCTCCTAAAGATTATTTAGCTCATTTTTGTGACTAGAAGCCCCAAGCCCTGACACCTCTAGATTGGAACTGTTTTGTAAAATTTGATGACATTATGGTGTTTCTGCATGTGGACTTCGCCATGCCCATAGTGATCTCCGTAATCCTAATAATTGCACTTCTATTCGGCCCTCTCACCACCACTACGTTACAGAGAAGGCAACTGGGAGCCAGAAGCAGAAGCACCGGGCCACAGTCTCTGTGGCAGAGTCAGGGCTCAAAGCCAGGCCCAAATACTCATTAACACCAAGACACTAGACCCATTCATAGGCCAATGGCAGATAGGATGTGGAGTGATGGTTGTCACAGAGTACTCAAAAACAGGAAACAGAAGTGCCTTATGTCTAGCTCTGCCCAGCCTCAGAGATATTCAGAGAACACAATAGAGGTCTGTCTTGTCCCCTCCCAGGAAGTACACAGTGTTGCAGGAGTGCAAAGACCGAATTTCTGCCCTGAATACCCAGATTGAGGAAGAAAAGATCAAACAGAGGCAGCTAAGGTAACTAGGTTGGGGTGTGTCAGAGATGAGAGCTACAAAGGAGCAATGGAGTGAACCTTACAAAGGATCAAGGTGGGAACTTGGTCAAGGACTTCTGGAATCTGAACAGAAAAACCCTGGACCATCCAGTCCATGTTTCTCTCTCTCTGTGTTTCTGTGTCTGTCTGTCTCTCTCTTTCTCTGGAATTGGGGTTAGGGTTAGGGTTGGAGTCATAGCCCTTGACTCCTCATTCTTGTTTGGTTGGTCCTCAGGTTAAATTTTGAGGAGCAGCTAGAGGATCTTACGGGACAGCATAAGGATCTCTGGGAGTTCCATGTAAGTTCCTGCCTCACCTCTCTCAAAACCAATACTTTCGGTGAGCTCTGGTGCTCTAGTGGCAAAAGGTTGCACTGCAGTCCCAGAGGTGTATAGTTCGAATCCACCAGATACTCTGCTGGAGGAGGGACAGTCTCCTCCTGCACCAGTCAGATCCATTTTGACAGTACACACACACATCATCATCAAAATAAAACCCAGTGCTTTCACCTTTCATACCTTCTTTGTGGCACCTGTCTAGACTGTCTGTGTCTGAGCAAAGGGCCATGCTCCATGTTACTTTCCTCACCATCACCCTGCTCTAGTATCCTTATCAAGGTCGGCCCTATATTTTTTGAGTGTCCATGGATGTGTCCAGTATCATCACAGGCACAAGAGAAACAATCTTTATCACTCTGGGCTTTTTTTTTTGGGGGGGGGGAGGGCATCAGATGATAATCAAGGAAATGGATAGAGGATACAGTATTAGGATGGAATAAGGAGCAATGATGCTGCATTTGTGATTCTCATGCTAGGCTAGTTGTGACCATCACAACATACTAGGCTTGGGTGTCAGGTGAGAGTTGGTGGCAACAGAAAGGGCCATTGCAAAGATTGTGATGCAGACCTGTCTGCTGAGATAGCAGAAATGGAGCCCAGGAGAGTGATAGCAAGAGAGACACCTTGAAAAGATGAATAAATGAATGACAAAACTAGGTAGAGATTCCATGAGGTATGAACTAGTCTTATATTTGCCTCTCAGAAATCAGAGCGACTGGCACAGGAGATCAGCACCCTGGACAGCAGTAAGGAGCAGTTACTCAAGGAAGGTGAGGCCTGAGCTTTGGAGGGATATAAGTGGCCCTTCCCTGTCCGTCCTGACTGGCCTTCACTCACGTTTTAATCTTGCCACACCTTCCCACCTCAGAGAAGCTGATCCAGGCAAAGCTGGAGGATGTAAAGCATCGACTGAACTCCTTGTGTGGGGCTGAAGGTCCCTTGACCATCAGTGAGGGACTCTTTCTGCGCAGCAAGGAGGCTGTGGCCGCTGTGTAAGAACACAGATGGAGAAAGGGGTGGAAGGGAATGAGAGGTGGCTGGAGCTGAAGTTCCCTTCTCTCCCCAGGCAGATGTTTGAGGAGGAAAATGACAAAGCTAAGGAGCTTCTGGAGACTGCAACCCAGCGCCAGCAGCAGCTCCAGGAGAGGTGCCAGCAGCTACAGGAGAAGCGCCAGAGGTGGGTGTGGATCTCTCTGCTCCAGAGTGGGCATCTCTGTGTTCCTTGGGGCTTCACACACTCTTGTTCTTTCTTCCTGTCCCTCTTTCTGTCCAGGTTGAAGGAAGAACTAGAGAAGCATGGAGCCCAGGTTCCCACACAAGCCCAAAACCCCCAAGAAGAAGGGGCCCTCCGTGGAGAGGTAGAGAGTCTCGGAAATAGGGACATGAGAATGGGGCTGAACTTGGGGGATGGACACTAGGAAGGACATTTTTAGCATGGACTACAACCAAGAAAAAAGGTGGTGGTGGATGGAGAGGTTACCTTTTTATTCCACTTCACACCCTGATCCCTTGCCCCTCCCAGGCACAGTACCTCCTGAAATCCAGTGCCAAGTTTAGGGCCAATGACAAGAAAGACCTGGAGCCACCCAACTAGTAGGCCCAACAACAGTCCACACCTCCCCATGAACTCCTACAGTTGCTATCCTGTTGCTGACCTCATTCCACAGATCTACTGGAAATAAAGCTGCTGTTTTCATGCCACTGTCTCAGCTGAGTCAGTGTTAGAGACAGGCGAGGGCAAGGCCCAAGGATCCCCTCAGTTTCAGTTTTAACCCCTACCGGGAAGCACATAACAGACAATGAAATGAACTTAGAGCATATATGATACCATAGCTACCTTACCTGAGCAAGTTCTCTCCAGCTGGCTGCTGACAGGGTTACCATCATACCAGCTGGCAAATGTTAAAGAGCCCGGACCCATTTTTCTAAAGACAGAAAAAAAATATTTTAATGTGAAGCTGAGAGACAATAAGCTAATGATAGGTAAACATATTTAAGGGAATCATGTAAAAAAATCAGTTCTCTACAAATTAATGGATTTCTATACTATCACATCACATTCAGAATAGATGGTTTTTAAAAGAAATTGATAGGCTGTTTCTAAGATGTATTTGTAAAACCAAAGGCTCAAGGGCAGCCATGTGAATAATGAGGTGAGAGGACTTCCAAATATCATTACATGTTGTAAAGCTGGTGGCTTGATGGCAAGAAGCTGTGTTACAATCCCAAAGGCATGTAGTTCGAGGCCACCAGCTGCTCTGCGGGAGAAGAATGGGCGTTCAGTCTCTTCCCATGTGATTAACTGTCTCTGAAAATCCACCAGAGGGTCAGCTATGTGCCGGTTCTCACTCTGTTACACAACAACATTATAAAGCTATAGTAATTATAGTAGAGTTCACACTGAGAGAATAAATAGGCCAGTGTGATTCAAGAGCACCCTGAACAAGACTTGCTTGCATTTTAAAAGCTATTTACTATATAAAGATTTCATTTAGGAAAAGAAGAAGCAAAATTCCTAATGGAAGCTTCTGTATCTATATGAAACACATGGAAGTTGGACCATTTCCCTACTCTGTGCATCCACATAATTTCCAAGGGTGGTGTCACTGACTGAATTGTGTCTCAAAAAAATATGTTTCAACTTGACTAGCCTAAGATTCTTAGTGTAATGTAATTATTCTATGTATTATTAAGTCCTGCTCTCTATAATATTAATGAAGCACAATTAGAGACAGTTATTATGTAGCTATGATGTGATCTGAGATGTCATGGTAGAAGGTTTCCCTACATTTATTACACTCAAAGGGTTTCTTCCTAGTGTGAGTTCTTAGATATATAGTACAATTTCCCACTATCATTGTATGTATGTATAAAGTTTCTCTCTTGAGTGTATTCTCCTATGTACGATTAGGAAAGGTCTGTAGTCAAAGGATTTCCACATTCCTCACATTCATAGCTTCCCTCTCCAGTGTGTGTATGCTCTGATGTGCAGTGGAGATTGATTTCTTGTAGAGGGTTTTGCCACACTCACTGCATTTATGAGTTTTCTCTTGTTATGAATTTTCTAACGTACAGTAAAGGCTAAATTCTGGTATAAGGTTTTTACACATATATGACACTCATAGAGTTTTCCCCCGGTGTGTATGAACAGTTAGGTCTGACTTAACGGCAGAAATACTTTTCACATTTATTACAAGCATAGGGTGATTTCTCTTCTTTGTGTTTATTTTCTAATGTATTCTAAAGATTGATTTGCTAATGATGGGTTTTCCACATGTACTATTTTTACAGTTTTTCCATGTGTGTTCTTTGATAAGGTTAGACTTTGTACATAAAGTTTCTCTACAGATAATACAATCAAAAATGTTCTTTCCTGAGTGACTGTGAAGCTTTTTAAGATATAGTTTCTTTCTGATATTATCCCCATCTTGATTACATTTATGGTGTTTCCTCTCCAAATGAGCTCTAGGATTAAAAAGCTATGGCTTCTAAGAAACTATTTTCTCCCATTCATATGTATACTAGTGTAAGTTCTAGAATGATGTCTCCTTGCTAAAGACTGTCTCTCATCTACTATGTTCAAAAGGCTTCTGAAAAGTCTGCCATTTCCTTTGATGAAAAAAATACTATCTGAGGAATTTCAAAATTAAATACTCCCATGGAGTAACTGGTGGATTCGAACCATGTTCCTTTAGATTGGCAGGGCAACTCTTTTCCATTAAGACTTTAACAGGCTGGAGTAAATCCTTTGTGGTTGTCGCTGTTAGGTGCTGTTGATTTGAGTATGACTCACAGTGACCCTATGAACAAAAGATCTGAGCCCTGTTCTATCCTGTGCCATCTTCCCACTTTCTGACACACAAGAGCCCATTTTAGCAGTCACTGTGTCAATCCACCTGAATGAGGGTATTCCTCTCCTTCACTGATCCTCCACCCTTCCTTGTATCATTTCCTTCTCCAAGGAATAGCTCCTCCTAGCAGTATGCCCAAAGTATGTGAGGCAAAGCCTCATCATTCTTGCCTCCAAAGAGCACTCCGGCTGCACCCTCTCCGAGACATATATGTTTGTTCTCTTGGCTATCCATGGGATGTTCAGTACTCTTCTCCAGCACCATAGCTCAAAGGTGTCAATTATTTTTATGTCATCCTTATTCATTGTCCAGCTCTCAGATGCATAACAAGTGATCAGAAAAACCGTGGCCTGAATCAGACACACCTTAGTTTTCTAACTGACATAATTTTCCTCAGTAATTTGGAGAGGTCCCTAACTGCAGATTATCCCAGTGTACTTATTTCCTGACTGCTGTACCAAGCAAGATGATGCTATAGACAGTTTCAGTCTCTTCTTCAATCACCATGATGCTGCCTTGAGATGCAGTCCATACCAAAGGCTGCATTCCTTTATCTTTTGCAACAAGTGCTTCACTGCCTCCTCACTTTCAGCAAGTAAGGTAGTGTCATCTGCATAACACAGGTTATTGACGAATCTCCCTACAATCATAGTGCCACACTCCTCTTCTACAGTCCAGTTTCTCAAATAATTTGCTCAGCATACAGATTTAATAGGTTTGGAGACAGAATACAACCCTGACACACTCCCTTATCAATTTTAAACCAAGCAGTGTTCCCCTGATTTGTTCTTATGTCAGCCTCCAGGCCCAGGTATAGGTTCCACATGAGCACAATTAAGCGCTATGAGATTCCCATTCTTCTCAATGTCAGCTACAACTTGTTATGATCCACACAGTCAAATGCCTTTGCATAGTCAATAAAGCACAAATATAGGTGCATATATTTGAATAATAGTCATGTTAACAGGTGTTCCTTGTATGCATATGGATATTATCCTGTCACAGCATAGTATTTCAGGTTAAAACTAAATTGACATTTTGACTGTGAAAGCACACTTTTACCTGTTTTTCATTCCCTGAATTGTATACCATATGATCCTCTGATTCAAAGTGACCAAAGCTGGTCCATCTCCTCTCACTAATGCCTAGAATGTTGATGTTCCTTGTCTTCACTTTCATTTTTCCAGTTTTCCAATATTCAAGCTATGTACATTCCGTGTTCCAGTTATTAAACAATGTTTGTTGTTGTTTTTCCTCATTTCAACTGACTTCCAATCTGGGCTCTACCACTACACTTATATAACTATCCTCATTCCTTTACTGTTCATAGGGGTTTCAAAGACCTGTTATTTAGGAAGTAGACAATCCATCCTGCTTCCTAGTCTGTCTTAATCATGGAGCTCAACCAAAACCTTTCCATCATTTGTAACCCTTATGGCCTTTGACTCACCAGTAGCACAGTTTTCAGTGTCATAGCAACCCCAAGTTATCTCAGTACAGCAAATTGACAAGTGCTGCACCACTTAGAACAGTGTTCTCCTCAAACCCAAGTAACACCAGGCCTGAGGGCCCCAGGGCTTTTAAATACAAAGGCCTGCCCACCAGGTCATGATTGCTTAAACAAGAGGCTTCCTGCCCATAGCAAATTGTTAATGAAATCTCAATGGCCAATCAGCTTACACTTGATTATTAACAAAATAAAAAATGCCCAGTTTATACCAGACTTTAAAGAAAATCAGAACATCTTACCCTTCCAGAATGTAACTGTTCCTTACACACATTCAAACCATTAGGCCTCATTCCTGATTAGTTCTCTTTACTTATAAAATATAGTTTGAACTCACTCCACAGATTTCTTAAAAGAGTTTGTGCTCAAGTTAAAGGTCTTCTTGTAATTGAGCTCTAATATGTTGCTGTTGTTGTGTGCCATTGAGTTGCTTGCGACTCATAGTGAACTTGTGTACAACAGCCCAGAACCAATCTCACTGTCTCCGATACACCCATCCTGATTACTCTAGTCACTGAATCAATCCACCTCATAGAGGGCCTTCCTCTCCTGCACTGTCCCTCCACCGTACCAAGCATGATGTCCCCCTCCAAGGACCGGTCCCTCCTTACAACATGTCCAAAATATGTCAGATGAAGCCTCAGAATCCTTGCCTCCAAGAAGCCACTCAGTTTAACCCTCTCCAGAATGAATCTGTTTGTTTTCTTAGCAGTTCATAGTACTACTTTTCTCCAGCATCACAGCTCAAAGGCATCAATTCACTTTCTGTCCTCCCTAGTCATTGTTCAACTCTCTGATGCATAACAAGTGATTGCAAAGACCATGGCCTGTATCAGACACACCTTAGTCTCCAGAGAGACACCATTGATCTTCAGTACTTTGGAGAGGTCCCTAACAGCAGACTTTCCCATGGCAATACGTCTTTCAATTTCCTGGCTGCTGGTGCCAAGAGTGTTGACTGTGGAGCCAAGCAAACCAAAGCTGTGACCAATCTCAATCCCTTCCCCATCCATCCTGATGCTGCCAATGGGTGCAGTGGTGAGAATCTTTGTCTTCTTGATATTGAGCCTCAATCCATGTTGAAGGCTGCAGTCCTTGACCCTCTGGCAGCAAGCACTTCAGGTCCTCCTCAGTTTCAGCAAGCAGGGTTGTGTCATCTGCATAATGCAGATTGTTGATAGATCTTCCACCAATCTTGACCCCACATTTCTCCTTATAGAGCCCAGCCTACCGGAT